GGCGCAACAAATAGACGGGCAATTACCGATGCACCGATGCATCGAAACCTAACAAGAACGGTTGGGGCCGGATTCGTATTGCCAATTCATTCGCTCGTAGAGCTTCGCTCGTACGAATGAACGAGAGAATGGGGAGGAAGGTCGGCCAAGGGGCTCTCTGAAGCTATGTAAACTGCGGAAACGTGCAAATAAGTAACCCACAGGCTTTCGCATAGGATAGTAACGCCGTGAGCTTTGCCCTCCGATAAATTGTTCGCAGGTCGGAGGTTAGCGCTATTTCGAAGGATGAATGTGCACTAATATGCGCGCGTGAATAACTCCGCGAAAGTTTTCCTCGCGCCGTGGGAAAAATTTTCTCGTGTACGCCGCAGCTCGACCCGATCCCGGAAAAGGAAGGATATCGGATGAGGTACTACTGACGAAACCTTACGAGCTTCTCTGAACGGATTTTTGAAACGGAAAGTTATTCCCCGTTGAAAATATGTCGTCTATGTTGTTGCGACAAAATTACATCATCCTCTATCGTGTCTATCATCTTATAATTATATTATTATTAATCCTTTCAGACGGTTCTCTTTTATAAAAAATTATATTAACGGAAAATATGAAACGGGGAATATATAAGAAGATTCAAATAATGATTTCGCGAGAGTTTCGTAAAAAGAGATATTATTATTTAATTTTCTGAGCATCGAATACCATATTTTGAACTATATATGATTTTATATTTATTCGTTCGGTATTTTGATAAGTTTAAAATACTTTAAGTATATCACTGTGATAATATCGATAGATAATACAGTCAAAAGGATTAATAATAATAATATTAATTGCAAAAAATAAAATAATAATTATATGTCGTTGCGTTCGCTACAGACGCTTTGTCGCCAAGTGACAAAATGTCAGTTGGACTTTGGAGTTAAATGATCGTTCGTACGAGTTATATCGCGAATATATAGTGTGTCGTAATCATATGGAAACTTGTTAACACAGTGAAAAAAGACCATGGTATTCCTCGCTCGTAACGCTTAACAACGTCTGGCGAGGCAACGAAACGTCACGTAATCTAAGCGGGAACAATACGATCGGGTGAAATTTAATTTCGCGAAAGAGAATTCTTCGCGTCGCGCCGAACGATGAAGGGTTGGCGAACGGAAGGAGAGATCTAAGAAGATAAAGGGGTGTTCCCGGCGAAAGCGCGATGTTTGAAACGTAGTTAATAAAATCTCATAAATATTCAACATCGCGCGGGAATCGAAGTCCCATAGGATCGAAATAAAAAGGTCGACGCATATTTGCCGTTACAAACTCTCTCGCCGTCCCGTAAAATTGAACTTTCAGAATCCGCGCGGATCATTTTTTGCCCGCTCCACCCGTGGGGCGATTCTCAAATTGGACTTTCGACGATAAAATTTTTTTTTACCACGCCGAGAAGCGAGCCATGATCGCTTTCATAAATATTGCTATTTCTCGTCCAATTGAATTAACGATTTCAAAGTCATTTAACGAAATTTGATACAATTTAGCGCACACTTTGCACACGATTAAAATAAAATGACAGAACTAGATTATAGATGTCCATTTCTATAATTGTCAATTCTGAATACATAAATTTATCATTGAGAGAGAGAGAGAGATTTTATTAGCAATGCCGATATATTGAAATAGTAATGGCACATACACATGAATATTTTTATATATTATTTATGAAAATAATCCCTTGAAATTATATTCTCTCTTTAGAAGTTCTTTCAGCTTATTCAATGAAGTCTTTTAGGATTTGCTTTACGCTTTTTTCGCGGCTCATAATATATTCCGACCGCATATTATTCTTTGCCCTTTGGGTAAACCGCCGCACTGGGATCTATCATTTTTGCATATCAGTAGAAACCGCGAGACATCAAAATGATATACAACTCTAGTTCTTCTTCTTTCAAAATGAGCATAGTATTAATACATACATGTTTTGTTGCAAAAGCTATTTTAAATTACTCGAAATAAATAAATACTCGTTACACATACAAATCAAACTTTTTTTTAGAAAAATCTCATAAGAGCATTAATTTTTGTTCTTTCTTTAAATAAGTACGCTCATCGCTAAAAAAATGCAATGGGAAAATTGATAAAAATTTAATACAATGAATTATTACAATGAAGCCTCCTCTTGATGTTAGGGATGGAAAGATATCGGTTACGTTAGTTTTACGCATTTTTCTACGTCTGCTCGTCGTTACTTTCGTCTTTTTATTGTAGACGAGGTGCTTCTCGCAACTGTCGAGATAAAAGTAATGACATTACCATTTGTCTGCATCACTTTACCGTTCTCTCCTTGTCTGTCGCGTAAGCTATCCTTGTAATCGATAGCGCAAGGACATTCGTCCATCCGTTCGTCCATCCGTACGTCCGTCCGTTCAGACTGTTCGTCCAGACCATCCATTCATCCATCTATCCATCTATCCATTCCACCTATCCGCCACCCGTCTACCTGTGAACTTAACGCAGCGTTCAACGCGATGCAAGAAGCAGCCATTATCGCTTTCTCCTTTTCGCGTTCTCGCATTGTCCTACTTTTATCGATATACTTTCAATTTATAGAAACGAGATTCCGCCACTTATCCTATACGAAGGTCCTTTCGCTTCTCTTTCTCTCTCTCTCTGCCGGGAAGAGAGTTTTATTATAAACTCTCGCACGTATCTTTCGCGCGATCGGTTTAATGAACACGACAGATTTAACGAAGCGCGTCCCTTTCATCGATAGCGTTCGTTAATAATCTTTGATGCGAGATGTTCCATGAACGCAACGGCGCGTTTGATGGAAGGAAGTCTCGCGATAATTCGATGCGAGAGAGGAAAAGGGAATGGAAATCGATTAAAAGTAATTGCCCTACTTGGATTAGAAATTTCGCGGAATTAACAGCAGGTGCGACGATACAATACAAATGAGCTTTTGAAAATGACGAAACGTATTTCAACGTATAAAACGTTATTTCTGTACATTTCTATTATAGATCGTGGACGAGGAAAATATATATTACACGAGGTAAAATGTCAAAACGTTACGTGATACGGTTGAAAATTTCAATAATATCCCGTTCAATTATTTATTGGCTCTTTTTATAATTCATCATTTAGTACTCTTGTAGTAATTTTCTAAAAAAACTTACCGCATTAAAGTGTTCTTCGACATCGAGAGTTCGTTCCTTAAGCAAAGTAAATTAAAATCAATGACGCGTTAGTTGTATGTGTCTCTATGTTAATGAGTTAATTGAAAAAAAAAAAAAAAGAGATTCGGAGTAAAGCGTACATAGGTGAAGTCGCTAATGGGGGAAACGCTGACCGACCAGAAAAGGTCCGTGATCGGAAATCACGGCGGGACGTAGAGACAGAGAAACGTCGAGCGAGATACGGGCAGATTTAAAGGTCTGTTTTCATTGCTATTCCGAATCGCCGTGCGGGCTTCCGCACGGTTTCCGCTGTCCTGTACGGAGCCAGGTATCACTCTGATTGGTAAATCTACGGTTGCCCAATGATGCGTTTATTTGTCGAAGAATTAGGACAGCGCGGCACGAGACAGAGCGCGAAGAGAGGACGCGAGTGGGAGTTGGGTCGTCGATGTGTGAGGAAGGGAATGCCACCAGAATGACAGGATCGGGTGAATGAAAACGGGGGAAGGGAAGAGGGCAAAGAGGGATTGAAAAGGATTGGTCCAATTCTCTCTCTCTCTCTTCCTCTCGGAGGTCGCGTCGTACCAGTGCTCCACCGCAATCAGTAAACCTGTAAAACATTGGATTAGATGGCCTAGCCTAACCTCGCTCCGAGTCCCCTAGACGAGGCGGGGTTCCAATTTCCAGCTATGGCTCGCGCTAGGTTGAGCGCGGGTATATACGCGTTCTCCAAGCCCGGCGTCGCGATACGTTATCCAATAGCGCTCGAATTATTCTCGTTTTATTCGCCGGGTATACGGCAGCATGCGCGACCACGAAGCGCATCCCGCGCTTCCCGTATCGTAACCGGTTAGCCAGCCCGCTGCTACGTTCCACGAGAGAACGATTTATTCCCCTACGTTTCTTCTCCCCCACCCGTGCATCTCTCTGTCTCTTTCCCTCTTTTTGTATCTCTAGTTAACAAATTCTTCGCCTTTGTCGCGCGATAAGTTTGATTTATTATTATCGTTATTGCGCTTGTTATTCCATTCGGATGTAAAGTCTTGCTCGCGTAATTCTCGACCTCCAACGCGGAGGAGGATACGTGTCGAGAGGAACCCCCTCCGTCATTATCAATTTATCATTGTCGTTCCTCGCGTTTATTTCATTCTCATCGGTATAGATAGGAACCATAGTCGGTGGTGACCAAAGGAACTCTTTTTTCCCGTCTCACGATTTCAACTGCTCGGTAAGCGACGTCGTTTAGAGTCGTCTTTTCAACCTGGGTATGTTTGCGCGCTTGTTACCAACGGTGGCCAGTCCTCCGTTTGCTTGCCGAATCCTCGAAAGGGGTCTAGTAGCCTCTCGACGATGTTTTCATCCGAAATTGTCATGTGGCACACAGGTTTCTCTTTCCGATAGAAGAGGAAAAAAAAAAAAAAAAAAGGAAAGATAGAGGGGAAAGGCGCGCGTAAGAGGGATGGTCGGCGCGGTCTGGTGTCGATGTGTGCGATGGTGGTAGGAGACGCGAAGAGAAGGGAGCCAACCCCCTGTGCGCTCGCGCACCCGATCGTACACCCTCCTCGATTCCAACCCCTGTGTGCGCGCGCGCGCGCCAAGTCCGCCGCGCTGGAGAACCGTGGCCGGAATGACGTCGAATACTGGTGTGGGTCTTCTGCCGCGCGTATACATACGGGCACATGTATACGCGCGGGCACACAGACTCGTCCGCCGCACGTGTATACGGTCGGCCCGAGCGAGAGAGCGTGGTGGGAGGCCGGGATGGTCGAAGGGTTGCTGAAGTTTCTCTAACGCTCGATGGCGTACCAGTGCGGATCGTGATTCTGCGGGACGCGCAACGTCGCGGCGTCCTCCGTATTATTCTCGTATATTTACCTGTATACCGATATTCGCGCGTCCGATTTGGCGGGTCCAGTTTTTTTTTTTTAAGGGTACATCCACGCGCAGTGCGACGAGGATCGCGAGGAGAGAAATCGAGAGATTGAGAGAGAGAGGAATTAAAACAACGGGAGGAATGATCTTTCGGGAGAAAAATCTCGGAGACACATGACGCCATGATAAGACGCTTCTTATCACCGTGATCACGATCGGGGACGTCGAGTGTGTCGTTTTCCCGGGCGCGAAAAATTGTTAACATATATACGATTGTTGTTTGGAACGGAGTAGCGCCAATATATATATATGTATTTTGTCCCGACAGATTTCAAGCTTGCATTTTTCATTTCCCCATGATTTTACCCCCGTTTCTACTCACGCTTCGACACGCTCCCAATGGCTGGCTGAGAGTAAAAGGTACGATCGAAGATGAAGGCAATTTCATGTTGGCGATATACGTTCATTGATGGTCGAGTCGAACCGGGTCAATCCCCTCTCTTGATCTTGATCGATGTAGGTCGAGTGCGAACCCGCTTAAACAGTCCCATTGCATAATCGACGTTTGTGTATTTCAATAGTTTTCTATGCGTTTCCCGCGTATCCCCTTTCGTTAAGGAGTCCTCTCTCGGAGCGTAATTGCTTGGATCCCATTTGGAGTAAAAGAGCGGAGTGTCGCTTAAAAGTTAGTTGGATTACCGTTCTTGTTGCATACTCTGCATCGTTCCTCTCTATCTCGCAATTGCGTAAGAAGAGAAATTGTCGCGAGTCTCTCTATATACGTCGATTATAACTTGAAATGTAACATTTCGAGCTCTCGCCGACGAAATTTAATTCTCGTATCGATTTACGCAAAAAAATTCGTACACGGCCAATTAATACATTTTACCGGACCGGAAACGCATCCCTGAGGATGAAAAAAATTCAGCGGATATGTAATTGATTTTTTTGGTCATTTTATTATTTTCCCGTATCCCGGCGCCGTAAATTATTAACTGTTCTCTCTGCGAGCCGTATTTATTAATAAGCCCGCGATATATACTCGCTATTGTGTATGCGACATCAATAATATACGTATCACTGTTTATGTTGCATAATCGTTAATCGCAGCTGGTCGCGATTCAATATTTTTTCACGCGCGCACGTTTTATACGTTTTTTGGCAAAACGGGATAAAGGTAAAAATAAATAGACGAAATCCATGGATGGATCTCTCATCGAATCGAAAATCGCGCAGCCGACAGTGAGAGTGGCAGTTTCGTTGAACCAGCGAACGCGCGGGAACAAAATTAGATTATAGGTACATTCTGAAAACAAGTATAAAGAAGTCGAGTAACAGCTCTTTTGCATTTTACATGAGTTTTTGACTACTCTGTACCGAGGTATACGTCCGACTCTTTTCCTGTTCATTCATAATTACAATTGCGATCGCATATAGAAAGCGTATTTTCCATCAATTTCGACTTTTCAAATTACAAAGTCAAGCGAGAGAGAGAGACTAGCTTGCGAAAGATATATATCTCCCCCTCTATACACTCTTTGATCATCTATTAAAATCCGCAAAGTTCTCTCTCCTAAAGTCTAACGACTTCGAGCGGCGAAGGAATTTGCAACATTCTCGTTCATTGCGAGAACATTGTCGGCGCGCGTTCTCGTCCTTCGAGATTCCTATATCCCTGAAAATATCTACTCTCCCGCGGCGCATTAGCTAATTCCGATTGGCAGCAGGTTGTTCCACAATTGTCGCGATCATTGGATCGGATCCCCCGATTCGATTCAACCACGGCGGCCGATGTTTTATCCGAAACCCCGGTCGCGCTCGGCCAGATCGGCGAGATCGTAAAACGAACCGGACTCGTTGTCAGTGGTATTTCCAATTGGCCGGTTGCGAGATCTTTAGAAGAAAACCGGTTCGACGACCAGCCCTGGACGTGTGCATCGCAGAGGTCTCCCGTTCGTCTTCTCTCTGTCTTCTCTTCCGTCTTTTTTCTCTCTTTCACATCTTCTTCTTACTCACCTCGCCGTAGTTCCTGTGTTCACCTTCTTATCTCGCGAGCGTTTTCTTCACCTCCCCGGCTACTAGGTTCCAACATATCATTATTTTTTACAGTGCCCGTCGTGATTGCGCGCACGTGTGTTGAAAATGCCGGGATCGTGAAATCGTCGAGACTCGAGTCGTCCGCGATCGAGTTTAATCGAATGCGCCGAACCCGAAAGGTAGCATAGTGGGTATCGTCTGGAAAAAAAAAAAAAAAGGGCCGGTGTGTTCGCGCGCGATCGGTCAGCGATCCTCTGTTCGTCGCGGTGCGATTACGATGATGGACGTAGCCAGGTGTACGTACGATCGATGAACGATCGTAAACGTTTCGCCGGAACTATAGATCGGCACAGAAAGAAACAAGAGAACTTGGACTCAACGCGGAAAAAAAGAGAGAGAGGGAGATTCCGGTGGAGTTTTTAAGATGGCTAGGCAGCTCTGGACCGCTCTGAAGCGATGGAATATCGAGATTCGGCAGTCATGTAGAAAAAAGTCGATGTCGGATCAAAAGCTTTCGCATTGATCCTGCAGCAGATTTTGCAGCGAGAGATCCGTCACGCAACAGCGGATTCGGAATTCGCCGACTTTTTCAGTCTCGAACAAAGCGAAAAAATGAGACTCTAAGGCGGAAAGATATTATCCGCAAGGCTCGAGCTGGAGTTCTGTGAGTTCAGCGGGGAAAAGGAGGGAACCGGAAAGAACGGAAACGTCGTCTTGAAGAAAATGTCGTGAATCTCACTGAAGAAGGAGGACGGTCACCGGCGCGCAAATTTCGAGAGAATATTCCGCGAAGACGGGAGACGGGTGGAATAAGAAGAGAAGTTTCGGTGGTGTTTGGTTTTCCAAGTTGGATCGAACTTGGGGGATGATGGGGGGGATTTCGGGGCAACTTGTCCGGAAAATTGCCAGTGTGTTGGTTCGCGAAGATTCCCCGAACGCATCGCGATGGACCGCGGCAAGATTCTATCTATGAGCGATGCCTTCGAACGTATAACGTTCGTTGAAAGTTCGGCAGTTAGTTCCGCGCCGTTGAACGATACCGAGGAATTCGCCTGGCCGAGGGCTGATTCTTTCGCGCGATTACACGAGACGGAACGACGTGCTTGAGGATTCCGGTCTCTCCTCGATCTACCCGCGCTCTCTATCTCTTTCTTCGCGCGCACGCACGCACTTGCAATTCATTTATAATAATTGAGACGATCATGCGTCGCACGAACGGTCGCGGCGACGTCAATGGCGCACGTCCAATCGCCAGTCGTTACATTAGGTTACGAATCCCGTGCAATATTGCGGCTATCATCCGTACGTGTACCACCAGGGTGTAGTAAACCCGTCGATCGGATTCACCTCGTTCCTCAAAGGAACTCTCACTGCCATCGAGGCATCGAGTCGTCTCCAAGAAATGAAAATAAATTATCGGATCGCTCTCTCTCTCTCTCTTTATTATATATGTAGGAATCCAAGGAACGCTCTTATATACTGACAATGAAAACTAATTAAATCGGAGCGCGTACCCCTGTGTACAACGTATACAAACAAATCCAGTGAATGTGAAAAGTGTCGGGTTTGTCGTATCGCGCTTGTTCGTAACTCCTCCTCCTCGTCGGGGGTTTTGTTATAAACGCGAGCCTGTTCATTTCTCTCAAGCAGGGTGTGCAAATATATGCATACATATACACATACGAGTGGTGGAGATCGCGTGCCCGCGTGGTCTCGTGCCCCCGACGCTTGTCGTTACACGTCCGATCGCAAGTGTAACGAAACTTCCTGTATACACGCGGTATCGCGCCCTGTCACGGTACAGTAAAGTTCGCGCCGTGTGGACCGCGGCCTGCCGTTTAAACGGACTGAATTCCTACCCTCGAGTAGCGGAAAGTGGAGGAAGAGAGAGAGAGAGAGAGAAAAAGATCTCGGCGGAGGGAGATATGTGCGTCGTGGGATATCCGTTTCGGATCGGGCTCGACTATCGGAAGTCGGTACGGATTCGTCGATACGGTGACACTCGCATTTAGGCGACCTGAAACGATACGACGGGAGCTGGAAGGGTGGGCGAGAAGTTAGAGTGCGCGGATCGAGGGTGCGTGAGCTGGTTCTAATCAACGTCGATCGAGTTAGATTAGGGTCGAAGTGGTCTCGAAAGGGCGCATCGATAAAAGCTATGGGCATCATGGATGCGTGGATGCGAGGTCGGATAATCTATGCTTATCTCATATGGGTCGTCTTCAAGGTTACCACGGCGGGAGGACTTTATGGTGAGTATACACTTGTGTTCTCGGGTTTTTCAAGATTTTTCCAGATTTTTCGGCGATACACACATCGCACACTCTCCGCTGTTGTTTGAATCTCCGATGCGAAATATATAGTTTACGTTCTTGCGTTCTTTCTTTGTTTAAAAATAGAGTATACAAAGATATACGAGATCGTAAGAGGAATAAAAGTATCGAGATGGGATATAACTCGTTTCTAGACTGTAAAGAAAATAGCGACTTTGCGCAAGAAGTTGTTGAGAGAGGGGCTATAGAGACTTCCGGTAAACAGTGTCCCGACTATTCAACGCCGCGCACGAGACATGACATCGAAATTACTTTAACCTTTCGATCGCCGCTCGTAAATATAGTCGCGCGGGAGAAACGCTGCCATTGACTCGGGTCGCTGTACAGGCTATAAATGTTATATTGATCGTTTTCGCCGCGTAGGAGTGCATCAACACGGTGCATATTTGAAATTGTGTATGCGAGTAATAATACGTAGCGGTAAAGTTGCAAACAAATGAAAAAAAAAAAAAAAAAAATAGATCGCGCTACCCCCGACCGACAAAGCAATGTTAGCACAAAACCGAAAGCCTCGTTACAAAAGTTCGATTGTGCGAGGCTTCGGGTTGACCGGTGTAAACTCGTAGCGGGGAGAAAATTGCGAAAACGTTAATTAACGTTCGCGATGGACTTTTCGCGCTAACGCAAATACGCAGAGAGATAGATGGTCTGAATTCTTAATGTACGCGCGCTTTTAATGATAATTCGCGAATATGAACGTATCGCAAGTTGGGCAAAAAATAGAATATTATGCGATATGTGTTTTAATCTCCGGCGGGAATAGTCCCGCTCTTTTGCGTTTAATTCGAGTTGTTGAAATAACATGGTATGACATCGATGTATCATCCTCCTATCAATCTGACATGGATAATATTCATATAAACTTTATGTCATTATCGCGTATATCTAAATAATATTGCTATATTTAATCATTAATCTGTCCCATCAATCTGCCATATATCTGTGAATATTACTCATAAAGTTTATGCCGTTATCATATTTACATATTGCTAACCCCGTTTAATATGTTAATATTACCTTTTTTAAAATAATTTTATTCATATGTTCATATTAATATATTTTTTTTCTACCAGTATTATATTAATTTTTTAAATTCTACAAATATTATGAACATATAAATTTTTTTGAGGTATATACGCGCGCGCAAGAGAGAATACGATAATAAAAGATTTTATTATCTCTGGAATTAAATCCGCACCCAATATAAAAGTAAGGAGAATATAATAGACGCACATACATATACTTCGTTTTTATTAACACCATTTAGCATGAAATTAACTCTCGACGTATATTGTTTGTACGATATATTCAGAAATTAATATTGATGCAGGAAAAGACGGTGAGAGAAAAGAAGGATTTTAATTTGCGCATCGTTAATGAGAGAGACGCGGCAAGAAAATAGATTGATCTCCGTGACACAGCTGTAGTATTTTAAATCAGTGCAAATGGTCGTTCGAAGAATTTTACAATACCCTCTCTTTCTGTTTTCTCCGGGAAAACTGGCGGAACGCGTAAAGAAGAGCCGGGGTAAAAGTGGATGTTACTTGTACGAGACGACGCGCTCTTTCTCTCTCTCTCAAGCTTCCGTGTCCGAGGGTCGAGTTCACATTTTTCAATTTGTATCTCCTCGCCGTACGTGGTGCTTAGCCATCGTGGTGCTGTTCGGACTTATTACGGTAAGGAAGTCGGCGTTCCAAGTATAAACCCGGTGTATCCGTGCTAGAGAAAAGGGATACCGTAACGCGACGCGAGTGGTATTAACTAGCGGTGTCGCGCGTGATCGCCGACATTCCTGATTGATCGATTCGTGTACAACGTGTCATCGTGTTCGACAGGGTAGAAAGTGCGCGACACGCGGATTGATGATGATTTTCGCTCGATGATTCGACGCGACGCGCCACACGAGGCGAGGCGATGCGCTCTCGTTGCGATGCAATTCACATTTTTCATGCGCGCGCGACGTATGCGAATATTAAATGCTACGTTATCATCGAATAGATTAATTATGAATCAACGCGGAACCCGGATAGATCGTTAATTAATACGTGTCAAACGCGTCGGGAAACGCACGCGGAAACCGCGCGCCCGGGCTAACTATATGCGGCACCAGCATCATATCGGGACCCTAACGTCCTTCCGACTTGGTATAAATCTCCCGTCGTCGCACACGTCGCGTTAACGTTTCCACCGTCGAATACCGTCGGCCTTAATGAACACTTACACGGGCGGAATATCGCGCACATCGTGCCGAATGTAACGCTCGTGCAATTGCGGCGGAAGCGGGATAAATGAAGCGTGCGAGCGCGGAAGAAAGGTCGTGGCTTGGTAGAGAGATAGTGCTACCGCGCCCTGCGAATTAGATCTAAGAGGTATGCGACGTACACACATGTACATAAGTAGTAACACACGTGTGTGTGTGTGTGTGTTTTGCGCATCCTGCACACGGAGAATCGCGAGCGCGTTACACGCTCCTACATAAACGCGGCGTATCCCTACATCCGACTTTCGTGTAAATTGGAATTGCAATTAACGGCTACATTTGCTACGGTCCAGCATGTTAGAGCTCCTGTCGGTGTGCGAGAATTCACCTTCCATATTTCTATAATACACTCCTCTCTCTCTCTCTCTCTCTCTCTCTCTCTCTCTTTCTCTTCCTTGAGTATAGAATGCCGTCCTATTCCGTGTGTCGGCCAATTACGTATTCTCGTACCACGCAAGAATTTACTGTCGCGTAACCGCCTGTCTCGCTAGCTGGTTAAGAGCACGGCTGCACGGAAACCGAAGTCGATCACGGATCCGGGGGCTTGAGGTATATAGACGCTCCCTCATCGGCCATAGAAATCAACGGGTATCGAGTTTCCGTCCGGAAGATCCTTGGTCCGAGAACTCGGTCGTTCTAAATGTTTCAAAGCGGTTAATGGAATTCGTCAGTGACAGAAATTAGATGAACGGAATATGTACCCGCCGCGGCGGAATAAATTTATTTTGTCATGAATTGGGCTTTTGGGTCGTTGGAACAAACTCTGGACGATGGTAGAGTACCAGTATGAAAATCCGAAACTAATTTCGCAATTAGCCGCAATCCCGCACGGTGAATAAATGTTGTATTTCGGTAACGAGAGAGTTTGCGCGGACCGCAGAGAGACAGAGAGATAGTGACAAAAAGATAAATATTGCCGCATTAAATTTTCGTCCATTTCGTTAGATGTATAATTCGGCCGCGTGTACATTGATTGCGTGTATCGTAGTTCCCCGCAATTTTCACGACCATACTGCGTGTCTCTACTCCGTCTCTAAGCGCAGACATGGCGTGCGTTAGAATAATTTGTTCCGCTGTCGTTGTTTTCACTCGCGGCCGGCGGCGTTGCACCTGATGGCTTCATTGAAAATGCAAAATACGCTTTCGTATACTTTGCCAGTTCGGTTAGCGCCTGCCTATAAGACGCCGCCTTCGCGCCTTACGTGAAGCCTCTAATTTACGCATCGCTTCAACTTGTATCTATCGCGAGCTCTGTCTGCTAGCGAAATTGCCCTCGCCGTCGATCTTATCAAATGTTATTATCGCATTGTCCGGCTAGTTATATGGTCGGAATTACTTTAAAATCAATTAAAAATCAATGAAAACTTGAAATAGAGTCAAGGGCAAAATACAAAATAAATTTCATCGTTAGATCTCTAACTTGATTTTATACACGTAATTTCCTAATTATAGCCCATTATAGATCTCGCGATATTTTTTATCATATAATTAAATAAATCATATATACCAAATAGTATTCTCTCATGCAAATACTCCGATTATAATCGCATTCGCACGATGTAAAATACACATGGCATAAAATGGAATAAATTTTTGATTCAAAGGGAAGAACATTTAACATACATACCAAAAATATACTAAAGTTAATGATTGAAAATATACAAAGCCGTATATAAATCATGTGTAATATTTACCTCAAAATTCTATTTTTTATAATTAACTTCAAGCTTTTATTTCAAGCCTTGAAATGTACTGACAAAAAATTCTGTCGAAAAAATCAGAATTTATATATGATTTGCGATTAAATTACAAATATAAAGGTATACTTACTTTTTTCCCCCCGGATATTATATGCTTTGCAGGGCTGAAAATCTGTATATTCTTTTCCGAATGTGACACGTTCAATTTGCAACGAGCATAATTATAAAGAAGTGCAATTTTAATCCTCACAGGTGCACGCGGATGTCGTACATGCTCGGGTTGGAATCGTGACGACTGGCTTGACGCGTTATCGCGATCGTGGAAAATCGATGTTGATGAAAGTTTTGAGATTCTTGAACTCGCGAGGAAGGAGAGCTTCTCGGAACGCGAGTATATCGATCGCCGTCGTCGTGGCCTCGCTCGCAGTTTCGGTCGAAGCAAAGTACGCGCGAGAGAGGGCTGCGGTAGGTTAGGTCTTTGGCCTGGATACCGATGCGTCTTTGGAGTTAGGCCGGCCATCGGCGTCGTCGAAATTGAATTTCTCGAGGACGATTAGGCGCGCCGCCATCCTTGCCACACACGAGAGAAATAGGCAGGAGACGCGCGATCGGTGTCGTGGCTCGATGAGGGAAGAACCGGTCCCGGAAATACGCCCGCAAAACCCGACAATACCGAGACGTCGCGTCGGTGCGAGTTAGAGAGGCGAAGAAATGGTAACCGGATAATACGATGGCACAAGTTTTAGAGGTCGGATGCGCGAAATGGATCGACCGCAACGAAATAGTCGTGTGCGAATGACATGACGTACTCGATGCTCCGATCGCGAAAGAGAGGATGTGTTCCGTATATAACATATTATATCAATTAACGATTAAAACGATAGACATTTTCCACTTCGTTCTATGTGACATGAAATATCCGACACTCAATAATCTTATTTAGTTCTATTGCTCATTAA